AGTTTGTTTACCATTTAAACTCATTAAGCCCAAAATTTAGTATTTATGCTCCATTGTTGACTGGTTCTTGAAAACATTGGACTTAATATTGAAATTGGAAATATGTGAAATAATGCAGTTTACAGTGCGCCTGAAAATGCATATAGAGAATATGGAAAAAATTGTAAATGGTGAATGAAACGTGAACTCCACTTCATTTCTCGCAGTTAAAGTGTCATAAAAAATTATCGTTTAATCTTTTTTATTTGTTTTTTGTAATAATTGGTCTAAAGTTAGCACACTTTTGTGGTGTTCCCAGTACTGCATTATTTCCAAATGAATGACAAGTGTGTAACTTCCGTCGACACTGTTTGATCACAAAATGTCATTCAATACTGCTCAATTTTTATTTAGGTAACAAGTAAATGATAAAAAGAGCATGAAATTTGGTTGGAAATGCATAAAAGCAACCTAACTTTTTAGCACATTATATTTAAAATAAATAAATATTGAAAAAGTGGAGAGTACGATAGACTTACCTCCATGTTGACAACGTTTACTCATATGGCAAAAAGTCTAGAAACCGGCAGTTGACTTCTCATTTCAAACTACCATGACCTCAATGTATGTCATATTCGACTCCTTCCCCCAGTAGTCATCTTATCTTTTCTCTGGCTTTGTGCCTGCCTGTCCCCTCTCGAAGTTTTATAACTTTGATGTTTCTCCCCTCTGTGAAACCCGAAATCAACTAAAGGGCCAATGATAACTATCGAAAAGCCTGGCATTTGATATAAATAAATATTGAAAAAGTGAAATTTAACTTAACCATATTAGGCACTTTCATGTTAGCTTTTAAGTCACTGGCTTCATTGACCTGATTTCAGTTAGAAAAGTTGCAAATAGATGCAGTTAACCCGATCAAAATTTGCATTGAATCAACTGGTCAACAATCTCTAAGTATCATGCCTATTTATTTATTTATTTCAAATGGCAGACGTTGTGATAGTTGTCATTAGCCCTTTAGTTGGCTTCGGCTTCACAGAGGAGAGGAACATCAATGTGAGAAAAATTCGAGAGAGAGAGAGAGAGAACAGAAGAGCGATTCACAGATTTAAAAGAGACAGACAGTCACACTATGGTAGATGAAAGGTGAGATGAATACTGTGGAAGTGGTGGAATACGACATACAGTGAGGTCATGGTAGTCTGAAGTCCGAAGTCAACTGCCGAATGAGTATACGTTGCCCAGGGTGCAGGTAAGTCTACCCCAAACCCTGTATCATGGATATAAATTCAGTAATAAATCTGCGATACCAATTCAGAGAAGATGAAACCGAAAATCCTAAATAAAAGAAACTGCATTCCTCACAGATGCATGAGGATTTCGTGAGTTAAAAAAGCGCTCAGCTACGTATTTTTAGTTGAACTAATCTTTTGTTTTTTACTATTCCTATTCAGAAATATCCCTTCAATTGACGCTTGATAATTTGAAGCTTTTGATGTCCAGTTTAGTTGGAAATTAATTAATGCGTCATTGTGATGATAAAGTATACGAAATCTCCCTTTAGATTACTCTGGATAATTCCGAATATTTAAAATTTTTAATTTATGAAACAGTAAAGAATGCAATCGTAATTTTGAAAAGAGATTCTAAAATTAACTTTATAACTCAATCTGCCGTGCATTTATGCGCTACCGCGATAAAATACTGCAAAATCTTTCCTTACACAGGATATCATAATAATTTCTACGTTTCTTCTAATTAAAACAAAGCAATTTAAATAAACTTTTGCATGATTCTACATTGAAATTTATAAGTACCTTAAAATGTAACTTATAGGCCAACTTATTTAAATTCATTACAACCAAATTCGCTTCTTTTCATTGACTAAGCATCCCAAAAATGATGTCAAATACTGCCTTAAAACATCAGATGATACTCACAAGTAAATATAATGGAAAAAAGGAAAATGTGTGTTGGTTGTTATCTTTCTCAACTAATTGGACAAATGCATTTCCTATTGGACAATTTGTCAAGCCAATCAAAATTGACCAGTTTCCCAATCTGTCTATAAAATGTGGGGTGGAGAAATAGTGTGACAGAAGTGTTAAGAAGTGAGTTTGACCAGCTTCTCATTATCAAATATAATTTTCAAATTACAGTCATATTGAATAGTACACCTCTAATTTAGATTTTGTAAATTGCCAAAATGATCGTTGCACTTCTGATTTTGGGCTTTCTTGCCGTTGATTCCTTCTCCCTGAGGGTAGAACAAAATCCACCTTCTCACCCCCAAGCCGAAGATGATTACGATTTGCACGACGATCTGAGATTTATCCATGCCCTCAAACGAAGATCTGGCTATATCCTTGTTCCCGAGGAGGAGCTTGCTGCTTTGTTAGCGGAAGAGAGACGTCTGAAACGTTCCAGGTCTCCTATTTTCCATGGACTTTTGGGTAAACGTTAAGGATAAGGTTAATTTACGCGCTATCCCCATATGTTATCCCTCCCCCGTCATCCCCTTCATTTATTTAATTTGTATACATAAGTAAAAGTGAGTTCCCTAATTAAAGGTACATTTACTTTTATCTTTTGCTTTTATCTTTTTATTTTATCCAGCATAATGCGACACATGGATATTTTTTAATATTTGATAAATACGTTAGCTAATGCAATTATTTCCCACTGTTCCTTGAAAGCATTTGATTAGTTTCTATTAATTTAATTCGATATTTCATAAAGAAATTAGAAATTTCGCACTGGTACATCTCTAGTTGGGATTTTGAAGGTTGCGCTATTTCTTGCCTTTGTTTTAATTTAGTTTCAAAAATGGCAACAATTTAAATTTTGCATATTCACAGACTGTGTTTATTAATATACAATATATATTTGAAAAAATTAGTAATCAAATGGAGGTCAATTGAACTCTTTTGTAAATTAATGAGAATAATACGCGAAAGCTAATATTTCTAAATGGGACAATTTGAAATGACACAACACTATCATTGGATCAAGATGTTGTTAGTTTTTTAAAACAAGATGATTTTCACTATCAAAGATAGTTTAGAATAGGTACTACAGTCCCACTTTAATTAGTGCAAATTATCAAAGTTTTTTTGGAAAAAATTCTTATTGTTTTTAAAATTAGATAGTTGTCTAAGATCAAAGGTTAATTATTTTTTTCAACCTTAACTATTGCCAGTGTCAACTAATTTCACCTACCGATAAGGCTTTATTTTCAAACAATGAAAATAAAACTTCCTGTAGAGTTCAGAGGTGGCTGCACTTCGTGTTTAAAATGCCCAAAAAAGGCCATTTTCCAAGTGATTCTTTGCCGTAGATTAGTTCACAGATTGAGGTAAGCGAGGTTAGTAGTTCATGGTGGGATGAGATATTTGAAATTGTCTTTTCAAATTACAGAATGCGTGTCACAAAAAGGGAAGGAAAGCCGACAAAGCTTGCAGCATGAATAAGAGCTCTGTCGTAACAGAAGAGGAATTCTTTCTTGAGGTGAATTGAAAATATAGACAAATCGGGTAAAGGTAATAGTGGAGATTGAGTATTACTTTCAAATATCAAATTAATTTTGAATGATAAAGAATGCTAAGATGTATTAAAATGGTTGTTAGATGATTAATTATGAGTTTTGAAACGTATCCCACCATTTGACATATTGCTCTTGCTTACAAATACTTGAATAGAGGGTACATTGCTGCAAAAATACACACTCCAATCAGTGAAACGATAGGTAATGGCCTATATTTACTCAAATGTTTACTCTGAGATTATAAGCTGACTCGATCAAAATAGGCTGTAATATGACCTAAAAAAATTAAAAAAATAGAAAGTGAGGGGTGGGGTGGGGTGGGGTGGGGGGTTTCAAGTTTATGGGATACCTTTTAAGCCAACGTATTGGTTCAATCTTATCGGGATACCGAGAAAAGGACGTTTAAATCAAAAAAACGCAAAAGTACAGATTCATTTCCGATCAGGCAAAATTAGTCCTGATTAGAAAACGGTCAAATGAATGCGAGCAATTGGTATATGAAATAAATATCCGGAAATAATACAGAAAACCAATTCCTCCCTCAATAAAAATTCAGGCAACAATTAAATGGTAGTAAAGTATAGATTGCATTATAAAAAAGTAAATAACTCAACAAATTCTGCATCGTATTTTAAGTCATGATTGTATTTTATTTAAGTTAAAATAGACCGCATAGCCTTTTCACATAATTGTGAATTTCAAAGGAAGCAATGCTTATTTTGAGCAAAAATAAAAAATAATATTTTTTTGAAAAAAAACTGTAAAAATAACTTATGCATGTTAGAATATAGTAAGTCAATTCGTGGAAAATAATTAGTAAAAAGCAGTCAAGTGTTAGGGCAGTGAGAACCGTCAATTTAAAATAAAAAAGTAATCCATTGTGTCATACTTATAAAATGGCTCTCTGAGTACACATTTCATTTACAAAATTCATTTTATTAATCTCTAAGGTTTCAAGATCAGCTACGAACTGTGAAAGTCAATTATTTAAATAATTTAAATAAGGAAATTCTATGTTTTTTTACATATGGTCGATAAAATTCACAGCTTTCACTGGTCTTTACTGAAATTTGAAATCTCGTTATTTTGTGTTCCGCTTGTTATTTTATGCAAAACTAAATAAATGCACCTTATGACAAAAATAGAGCATTTGAAAACAGAGGTGAACCAAAATTCAAGCGATGCGTGGAAGTTGGCAAGAGATGAATGCCATATTCCTATTTGGGGTGTGCGATAGACTTATCTCCACGTTGTGCACCGTGGGCAACGTATTCTCATACGTCGAGAAAGTATATTAACCGGCAGTTGATTAATGACTTTAAACTAAAATGGCCCCAATGTATGTTATATTTGATCACTTTCACAGTACTCACCTCACCTTTTTCTCTGTCTGTGTATCTGTCTGTCTCGTTTATATCTGCGAATCACTCTTCTATTCACCCTCTGAACTTCCTATGACGTCGATATTCCTCCTATCTGTGAACTAAAGGGCTGATGATATCTATCATAATGCTTGCCATTTGAAAAACTACTTCAATATTGTAAGTTTCATGAAGATCTGATATGAATTGAATGTAAACAAGCGAATTTACATTAGATGCACAAATCTTTTACTGATGAAATTGATCCTCGCAACACAGTTCAAAATTTTGATCCAGTCTGGTGTTAAATTTCTACTGTGCAATCCTAAATTCAATCCTGCTTCACAAAAATAAAGACAGAAATGAGGTTTTCTGAATGATAAACTATCATCTTAATTCTAAAATTCCTAACATCTAATTAGAAAATTTCATAATTCTCATTGTATCGTGTATTCACGATCCAATAGACTCTTAATTGTTAGCGTTGCGTTCTTGCTGTAAGGTTTAAACCCAATTTGCAAATTCTGCAGAATATTGTAAAAAAGCGCATTTTTTGAATTTGAATCTGAAGTGGCAAATAAGAAACAATTATGGGCATTGTTAGAGCATCGGGTTAAGAAAGTGATCACTAAAATTCGCCAATGTTGATCAAAATGTGTGGGTGGTGGGGTGGGGGGAAGAGTGAGTTCAGGTAAAAATATTCAAGACCTCTAACGAGCTTAACTTCAACAAGAATATTTGGGAAAATTTTTAATTTAAATCTTTTTTTCAATTTGCCGTAAATAAATTTTTAACAAAATTAAGCATTCCATTTAGTGGTCCTACGTTAATGATAATTTCATTTCGAAACGGGGTTTCCTTACAACAGTAAAGAGCAATTTGGGGCTAAATTTCAATCAAAGGAATTTATTTTTCGTCAAAGATAATCTGTTTATGCATTAGTATTTTTTAAAATTTGCAAAAAAATAAATCAAATTTTAACTAAAAAGGAGTTAACTTATCGGTGTGCTTTCTTCCCTACAGAGAAAGGCATCTTTTTTATTTAAAATGTTTAATGAATCAAAAAAATGAGACAAAGTCCTTTAGTCCGTGTTCATTTATGTGATTCAAATTTGCAATCACGAATTTTTAAAAATTACTTAAAGTCCTTTTACTTTGAACTCTGTCTTGGGGTAGATTTAAAAAGCATATTTTTTTAAAATCTTCTAAGAAACCCAATGAACGCAAAAATTCTCGAAAATAATTGCTTTTAAACGGTAGTTAATTGCATTTTATCTCATACTAAGCATGCAAATATTATTTTTTCACAAAATAACCCCGTAAGACGTGAAATTTACTTTCAGGTTTACTCAGTTCCTCTCTAAGTGAAATTATTGAGCATCTGGTGAGAACTGTGGGCCCTTGTGGTGAGCACTTCAAATACGCCTTCTTAATGCGTGGAAGGCAGAACATTGCTATCTATTCAACGCTTGTTGTCGATTTGAGAAGGGACTTCTCTGTTGATCTAAGCTCTCTCACTGGCCTTTGGAGAAAGGTGAAGTATGTCGAATTTATTTGTTGCTCTTGTTTTTTTTGACATAAAATGTTTTAAAGATCCTTCTGGTCTTTTTTTATGGTGGAATAAAATTGGTCGAGTTATTTAACCTGCCAGCACGCTACTTTCTCAAAATTTTCCCCATATATATCCCAGCTTAAGCCACTCATCGTTCGATGTACTTTTAAATCAACGCGAATTTAATTGAAAAAAATATTAACTAAGTCAAGTGGATTGACATTTTAATTGAAATTAGGAAACTGGAACACTTAAAACTATAAATAAGACAGACAGGAGACTTAAAAGAAATAATTCAATTATCAATTAGGAGTTGTAAGGTAAAAATAACCGTTGATAAAGTACGTACAACTATTTTGGCATTTTTAAACCAAAATATCGTAACTTGTGAATGCAAATATCTACACTCTTTTGAAGCAACTCAAATCCTCGTAACGATGCCACTTCAGTAGACAGTCGAGGAAGAATTGAGGAATTAAAATACGTGATCAATGGTTTTCTCTCAAGTCTTCTGTCACTATTTATATCACACTTAGATATTTGACTAGTATTTGAACGAATTTTTACTATTGATATAATAAAGCATAATAATTTAAAATTTCTACCCAGTTTACTTGCTTATCATTGGTCATTGCGCCTATTGTAAACAATTAAATTAACTATAAATAAGGTGAGGTTAAATGTTCGTTTGATGTTTGATGTCGATGGAATTAATTTATCTCTGCAGTAAGTTTGGCCATAACTTCCACAATTAATTAACCGTGTCCGTTAGCGTAGATTCAGAATTGCTGCAGGGTGGGTCAATGGAGTTAATTATTAAGGACAACTCGGAATGCCACCCAAATTTTGTGGATAACATATATTCCACGTCAGTCAATTTAGGCTTTCATTAATAAATTAACCCAAAAAATAATAAATGTTGAGAATTCTTTCTCTATAAGAAAATTTGTTTTAATTCAGCTCGAAAGTAGGATTTTTAAGTGACTTGTCACATATCTTCCCCCCTC